CAAAAATGTCTCTTGTAATTGGTCCTGGGCGATTTGAGTCAGGGATTAACAGTCAACATGCAAACAAAAAAAAGGGAGAAAAAAAAGAAAATCAAAGGAGCGTGAAAATTCCCTGACCTATAGGAACTAAGGTGGGTGGGGAAGCAGCACCCCCTTGTCTTGTTAGGGTTAATATATGCTAGGGGGAGTAGCCCTCCTCTGTCCCACTAAGATGTATACCCCCGGGCATACACATTTGCTTTTTCTGCCTCTGGCTCCTGGCCAAGTCTTGCAACATTCAACAAATATTTCTAGAGCCGTGACTATTCTCTACGCAGAGCCTGATGACTTTAAAAGGCCATAGTGGTAAAAGATTATAACTTCCCACCACTACAGAGTTAAAATTTTTTTAGATATAAACAAAAAGATTTCTTTTCTAGATTTTTGGATTGCAAAACTCTGCCTAAAGTCACTGAATCAACTTGACCCCACGTCCTATTCTCTTTTCTGCCTCTGTCTTCCCAGTGCCTATAAATCTGCACACATTTTGCCACTTGAATAATCCAGCAAAAGTGCCAGGCATTGTCCAGGCACTGGGAATACAGTGGTGACAGGACAGGCAGACCAGATCCCCGCCTATATGCAACTTGAAATCCACTAGAGAGACAAAAAGCAATGAGAACACAAATAAGTAATAAAATTGGATCCTGGTTCTCAGGTAGTGGTTTGAGAAGACATGTTGGGGGGAATAAATCCCATTCTTCAGGGGTGCTCTTGAACCTCATGCCTATTCAGCATTGGAGGCTAATGTTGGGGTAACCAGCAGCTCTCAGGATCCTCTGTGTCCCTGAGTGACCCAGAAGCAGTAGGGATGAATCAGGTTTGGAACATGGTAAGACATTTAGTTGGTCTGATGTTGACAGCAACCATCTTGAGTGCAGGGCATTGCAGGGACAGCTTAAGTGCACAAACTTCACCCCAAATAAACTTCTATTTCATCCTCTCGAATCTCCTCCTCATTCATTCCTGCTTCCTGTCACGATAATTTTGCTTCCATGGTAGACAGAGTCATTATTAAGAGAAGCTGTAATGGAAGGCTTAGATGTTATTCTTGGAGAGAGTCCCAGCTGATGTCCTTCTTGTGGATTCTTGGAATGTTGTGGTCTTCAACACCTGCCAACTGGCACTGTCACAGCCTCCAGATGTTTAGTGGCATTCTGGGCCACTGAAATCCATACACATCCATCATATAGGAAAATAAAATGTGTGCCCAAGGTATAGAAATCCAGCAGAGCAAATAGGGCAATGTATTCACCTCCCAGATACATACTAATGACAGTGGGATTCTGAGTCAAAAAGGAGTGTCCCAAAGTCTTAGGTGAGTGTCTGTTCAGCCAAAGATAACAGGACGTTCAAGAAGATTCCTTAGCAAGAGAATTGAATGAAGCAAAAGAAGGTGAACCAGGGAAGGTACACCTTCCTGAACAAGGAGATGCAGTCAATATCTCCCCAATTCTCTTTAAGAATCCCATCTTCAGTTTCCTGCCTTGCCAAAGACCAATTCCTTTATCAGTTCTGTCAGTAGCAAGGAAGGCTACAGTATAAGCTAATTTCTGGGCTGTTTCTTCACTCCTCAAGCCCCTCAGAGTGATTGATGCTGAATAAGTGGTCACAACCATTGGGCTTAGGTTTTCGAAGACTGTTGTACTCATGACTGTGGTAAGTGTACCTAGTCGCTATACTTACTGCACTTTTCATATCCCTTGAATCGTTCATTGTAGTTGTTTCTTATGGCTGGGAACACAGAGGACCTTAGAGAGGAGTAAACAGTGGGTAACAAGACTGGATGGTAAATTAGGACTTTGGATGCCAAGATAAGAGGTGGTAAGACTGTGTCATGCAAGCCATGAGGAGCTACTGAAGGCTTATGAGCAGAGTTTTGTCTCAATAAAGTGATACTTTAGAAAAAGCCCTGTGGGGCCGGCCCGGTGGCGCACTGCTACAGTGCGCCGCTTGGGAAGCGCGGCGGCGCTCCCGCCCGAGGGTTCGGATCCCACATACAGACCGGTTCCCGCTCACTGGCTGAGCGAGGCGCGGGGGCAACACCGAGGGTTGTGATCCCGTTGCCGGTCCCCGGTCCGGTACGGGGGCAACACTGAGGGTTGCGATCCGTTGCTGGACACGGAAAAAAGACAAAAGACAAAAAAAAAAAGAAAAAGCCCTGTGGGGCCGGCCCGGTGGCGCACTGCTACAGTGCGCCGCTTGGGAAGCGCGGCGGCGCTCCCGCCCGAGGGTTCGGATCCCACATACAGACCGGTTCCCGCTCACTGGCTGAGCGAGGCGCGGGGGCAACACCGAGGGTTGTGATCCCGTTGCCGGTCCCCGGTCCGGTACGGGGGCAACACTGAGGGTTGCGATCCGTTGCTGGACACGGAAAAAAGACAAAAGACAAAAAAAAAAAGAAAAAGCCCTGTGGGGCCGGCCCGGTGGCGCACTGCTACAGTGCGCCGCTTGGGAAGCGCGGCGGCGCTCCCGCCCGAGGGTTCGGATCCCACATACAGACCGGTTCCCGCTCACTGGCTGAGCGAGGCGCGGGGGCAACACCGAGGGTTGTGATCCCGTTGCCGGTCCCCGGTCCGGTACGGGGGCAACACTGAGGGTTGCGATCCGTTGCTGGACACGGAAAAAAGACAAAAGACAAAAAAAAAAAGAAAAAGCCCTGTGGGGCCGGCCCGGTGGCGCACTGCTACAGTGCGCCGCTTGGGAAGCGCGGCGGCGCTCCCGCCCGAGGGTTCGGATCCCACATACAGACCGGTTCCCGCTCACTGGCTGAGCGAGGCGCGGGGGCAACACCGAGGGTTGTGATCCCGTTGCCGGTCCCCGGTCCGGTACGGGGGCAACACTGAGGGTTGCGATCCGTTGCTGGACACGGAAAAAAGACAAAAGACAAAAAAAAAAAGAAAAAGCCCTGTGGGGCCGGCCCGGTGGCGCACTGCTACAGTGCGCCGCTTGGGAAGCGCGGCGGCGCTCCCGCCCGAGGGTTCGGATCCCACATACAGACCGGTTCCCGCTCACTGGCTGAGCGAGGCGCGGGGGCAACACCGAGGGTTGTGATCCCGTTGCCGGTCCCCGGTCCGGTACGGGGGCAACACTGAGGGTTGCGATCCGTTGCTGGACACGGAAAAAAGACAAAAGACAAAAAAAAAAAGAAAAAGCCCTGTGAAGGCAGGCTAGGAAATGGATCAAAGAAAAGGAGAAACCAGAGGCATGAAAACCTGTTAGGAGGCTGTTGAAGAATCCAGGTGGGCAGCGTGCCAAGGCCTGGAGCAGAGGCAAAAATGAGGAAAGCTGCAAAGCAGAAATGACAACCCTTGGGTTTGTGGAAGAAGAAATGTTCAGGTCTGGTAACCAAGGGGAAGCAGTAGTATTGACATTGACATAATTAGGAAGCACCGAGAGAAGGCCCGAAAGGACTGAGAAGTCAGTGAACCATTCAAAGACAAGACTTATGCCATGAGGAGAGCTTCAGTCGAGGTTAGGTAGCATGGGTTGGGCGTAAAAACAGCCTGGAGAAGGCAAGGCTAGGAAATGGATCAAAGAAAAGGAGAAACCAGAGGCATGAAAACCTGTCAGGAGGCTGTTGAAGAATCCAGGTGGGCAGCGTGCCAAGGCCTGGAGCAGAGGCAAAAATGAGGAAAACTGCAAAGCAGAAATGACAACCCTTTGGTTTGTGGAAGAAGAAATGTTCAGGTCTGGTAACCGAGGGGAAGCAGTAGTATTGACATTGACATAATTAGGAAGCACCGAGAGAAGGCCCGAAAGGACTGAGAAGTCAGTGAACCATTCAAAGACAAGACTTACGCCATGAGGAGAGCTTCAGTCGAGGTTAGGTAGCATGGGTTGGGCGTAAAAACAGCCTGGAGGTCTAGGCTGTAACAAGATCACTGTTATCACAGCCCTGCTCACAGACCTAGACTCAACAGTGACACATTCACACCCACATGACCACACAGAGACATCCATGTACACGATACACATGCACAGATGTAAAGATGTAAAATAGATCAAGTGTTTGTGGTGACAGGAGGATCACTCTACTAGTGTGGACTGTGTACAAGAACTAAATCAGAAGCCTGGGTTGAGTCAAAATCATATTAGAGAAGGTTTAAAAACATAAAAGAACACGCATTGTAAAATATAAGATGGTGATGGTGTACCTGAGCTAAGAACACAGTTTTGTTCCTAAGCTTTATGTTCAGGCACATGAGTGGTGGTTCCTCCATTTTCTATGCATTCTTTGCACTGACTCTTGCATTTTCTGATTTGATCCTCACCTCAACCCTGCATGTAATTTAGGGGTAGAGATGTTATTATTTCCACTTTACAAATGAAGACACTAACACTCAGAGAGGAAAAGAGTCTTCCTCAAGATCATATTGTTAATAAATGATGCAACCAGGATTCAAATTCAGGTCTGTCTGTCTCCAAGGCAGTTACCCTTCCACTACCATGTGGCATGTGAGATGGCTCACAAACTAGGATTGCATTGATGAAAAGGTCTTCATGTATTGCAGAAACAAGCAAGAATCTTTGAGGCTGATAAGAAGGAGAACATAGCCATTATTTCACTGTCTGCATTATTTTTTTAAGAGTCATTCCAATTTTTAAATTGTGGTAGGGAAAAGAAAATAAAGCAAGGGCCATTATTTTGTTGAAATAATAGAAGCAATGATGAGAGGCTGAGTTCCCCTGGAAAAGAGTAGGAAAATCTCTCAGGAAAGAACTCTAAAGGTGAGCTTCAGAGACAAGTATAAGAGAGAGAAAAGTCACTGGGGGTGCTGGAGGAGGAAAGTGGAAAGCTGAGCTGCAAGACTCCTGTCAACCTAAACATTCTTACTCCCATTTCCCTCATCAGGCTGGATAGCAACAGCATCATACTCATACCTGTGCTCTGGGAGCTGTGTGGGTGTTGGGGTCAGAGGCCCACAGATGGTCTGAACTATATCTTTCTTTACCAACAGACTCTAAAAGGACAGGAGTTTGGACCTTCACATCGGCGAGCTTGTAAGTGTTTTCATCTTTGATTCTGTTTCTTATGGGAAATAAGAATATTTCCAGTATTTCAGATATGTAGGAGGTTCAGAGAGACAGGTCTTTAATTACCAAGTTGCTAAGCCAAGTGATGCATATCCAGAGGAGAAGTGAGGCTCCTCCCTAGTCACTAAGAAAGCAAAATGGCTTCATGGCCAAGTGCATGTCCTGAAGAACTGATAGCCTATATGCAACCCCAGCTCTGGAATTTACTAGCAGTGTGACCTTTGGGCAAATGATTTTATCTGTCTCTGTCTCCATTTACTCACCTATAAAAATGGTTACAATCATACCTACCCAAAAGGGTTAGTGTGAATTAAATTAGTTCATTCTTACATGGGTTAGAACGATGCCTAGCACATCAAAAGTATGCAATGAATTTTTGCTTTTTATCGTCATCAACAACATCATCTTTATCACTGCAATTAGAACACATTTAATCTAATATAATCATCTCTGAGAACCAGAT